CAAATCAATAGAGAATAGGAATAAATTATATGTCCACGTTTTGTCTATAATATAGTATTCATCCAGTTGTATAAGTGAATGATGTAAGTATGGATATATACGAAACTAATACATCTATACGATTTGATTAGATAATTATTTATGATAAACCAAAGTGAATAATAGAGAGTAATAGTAGAGGACGAATTTGAAGTGCATTTTTTTCATCTGTTTTAATTCTCCCATGATAGATACAAATCATTTAGATAGTGACTAAGCTAAATAAAAATATCAAATATCATGTTGTAAATGCATTATGACAATGCAAAAGTTTCATATGAAATTAAAATCAATCTTGTCTTTTTCGAATGAAGAACATCTTTATATTTTCACATCATTGAATACATATATATATATATATCAAGACGAAGTAAAGAAAAAATAATAAATACATACTATTAGTAAATATGGTCCGATTAAATGTTTTCATTTTATTTATTATCGTTTCTAGTTTTATTCTTGATTTAAATGCTGATCAAAAACATAGTAACGATGATGTCACCAAGAAGATTGAAGATAGCATCACACATTTATTTTCATTATGGACATTACCTTGTTCAGAATGGTTAAATGTATTTAGTTGTGATGCTGTATGGTATCATCCGAAATTTCCCGATGGTATACAATACAATCAATTAAAAGATTTCTGTGAGATTAATCAAGCAACTAAACCAGCATTGTTTCGTCAAGATGGTCAAATTAGATTGACAATCAGTGGTAACTCACCATTATCATTACCTTTATATCATGTGATGGTTCCTTATGTATATGGACAAATTGAAAATGGAAATAATAATTCATTATTTATTAATAGTGGTTATGAATATGTTGAATTAGCTGCTGATCAAAACAATGCTATTCGTATTAATAGAGTTGTTGAATTTTTCAATCGAGCATCATTACCATTTGTTTGGCCAGACAATAATTAAATAAATTAAAAGATTTATTATGAGAATGAGATGAATAGAATATCTATACTTACTTTCAAAATAGTTTTTTGTTGATCTGAAAATAAAATATTGAATCTTGTTGAATTAATAAAATTTCATTAATCTATAATTATATATAGATTAAGTGTATTAGATATGTAATTCATTATAATTAAATATTCCTTCGTTTATTTAATTATTTATATAGTTTATGTTTTATTAATTAATAGAGTGATGTGAAATTAATATCGTTTGTTTTCTGGTATATGAAAACATCAAATTAATTTTGTACAAACTAAAATAACTATCGAATTAGTTTCAATACATTGATTAGCATCCGATAATATATATATATCGATTTCATGATAAATTTCTGCAATCTATTCATATGACAATTTATTTCATCATCGATGTTGAGAGTTAATTTGATTTGATAGATTCTCAAACGTTAGGAGTTCTATTGAGTTCATTATTCAAATGATTATGTTCGTCCGATTTGATGCCATGAACAGATAATTTTTCATAATACTAACACATTTTCAGGTGAATTCAGATTTGGGATTTACAATTTAAGACAAATTATTTTTCGACTCCGATAGAATATGAAAAAAACCTGAAGACAATTCATTCCCTCGTATCTTTATTCCTGACATATAGAATGTTCAAGATATGTGTATATAAATAGAGAACGAAACATAGTTCTACACTTTTATTTCAAATTATTACATTTTGTAACAAGTCTACATATAGTAAAAGTTTACCACGAATAATCGAAGCAAAATATTTTTAATTGGATGTACGTACGCTACGTCGTGGATGCAAACTGGTCGATTTTAAGACGCCAACTGTGACATTATTTGCACTTTTGTACTGAGCCCATTTGCCAGCATCATGATAGAATACATATTTGTCCTTAATCACAGCAAATAATAAGGGACCTTCGACACTAATCGTTCGGTAATACGATGCTCCCGGTTCACAACCATCTCCTATTCGATCAAACTCATGTTTGAGATCATACCATGAAGACTCAATACCTGTTGCATGTCTCGTTTCGTTGTTCATATTACTTGTATAATTGAATGAGCATGTGTCTAGGACATAAAATGATGCTACAGTAGCAAAAACAATGGCATATTTATCTTAAGAGAAGAAATCAAGTTACTTACATTGATCAATTTTTTCACTTAATGAAGTGGATTTCAACCAAACAAACTGAAGCATTCCAATTCGTTTATTATTATAATATCGTCCTTTCGCGCATAGAAAATTATAGCCTGCAAACGATTCGATCGTGAATCTACCATTATTTGAACCAAAAAGATCACTTTTTCGTCCTTTTGTTGTACGAAATTGTATACCTACAATCACATCGTTCGTCTGCGTTGGATTTGCACGTTTGTAGAAGATCACTCTATTGATTTCTTCATTTGAACCTAACGTAAAATTGTTCGAAAAATGAGACAGACGATTAAGTTGATTGTCGTTAGATGGATGATGCACTATAGAAGAACGACCATTTGAATAGAAAAATCGAATAGAAGTAAGATACGTGTCAGACCAATATAGTTCAACTCCAACACAACGATCATTATATGATAACATGAGATCCTTAGCATCATCAAACAACTGATCTTGAATGTCTTTACTTTTAATACCATGTGAGAAACCTTTTTTTATAATATAGACAAGATCTAAAAAATAATGAGAAGAATTTCTTGAATAATTCATGTATCTTTGCTAATCATAGCATAGTTTTACGCTTTCTAATCATTGGATTAGATGATAAGCAACGTGATGTGTAGCATTTGTAAGGACATAAAAGAAAGAAGATCATAATGGACAAAATGTTCGTAACAAGTAAAAGAATTGTGAGCTTGTTGAATTGTTCTTTGATCATTTTTTGAATCATAGATGACGATCGATTGTATTTCTTTTCGTGAACAATACTTGATTTTTCAATTGGTTGTGATTCCAAAGAAACAGTTGTCTTTAATGGTAGAAATGAACAGTCACTGTTAGGTGATGAATTTTCCGAAGTAGTAAATGAGCAAGCTACTTCTCTGGCCACATCAACTGCATGGAATCATAATGAAAATATGATACTATCAAAAGAAATTTGAATTCGACTTACTCGAAACATTTCCAATTTTATCTACTTCAATGGTCTGTATCGATTCATTCAATATTGTTGACTCTGTCGATGTAGTTGATAATGTGAACTGTTTCTGAATTTGTTCAAATTCTAAAAAATATAGATAGAATTCTTTGTCATCGATTGAATATTGGATCTTTAATTAATAATATGAACCTTGAAGTCGTTCTACAGCATCATAACAAGAAATTTTACGAAATGCACAAATCAAGTAATCAAAATTTTTATCGCTAATAAGAGTACGATCGAAAAGAAATTCAAGAAGATGTAGAGTACCAGTTGGCGTGCAATCATCTCGAATTTTACGTGGAACCATGGGACCAATAACGAAATGAAGTCCTTCACGATTATCATTCGAAAGTTGATTAGATAATTGAATAAGAAGTACACGAAAGTCGAGAGTTTTTACTGCCATACTTGTAATGTGGCAAGTCGAAAGTCTAAGGCAATAATAGTTGTGAAACAAGAGGAAAAAAAACAAAAATATGATATATGATTCCTTTATATATGAAAATGTCAGAAGTGTCTATCACGAAAGAGCAAACATTTCATCGTCGACGATGTAATGGTTAAATTTTTTTCATGGTTTATATATTTGATATAGGCCATAGGAAGTAAGAATCGCTATCATAGTTTATCGATGAAAAGAATAGATGAAATACGATATTTAATTGTATATTATAAAATAATGTGAATATTTATAAAAGTTTCAATCTATATTTTTATTATTAACATAATGGAAATAAAAGATGAACCGCCATTCTGAGAGTAGACTAATTCGTGAATCATTCTATTTATTTCTATTAAAAAACGATAGTGAGGCTTTCGACTTAGGCACCAGATCATTATCAACACACAGTTAGAGAAAGTGAAACCATTTCCGTAGCTTATTATGCATAATAACCAATTTTTTCTTACAGACGACACTTATTAGCATTATCTGTTAATTAGCAAACTCGAACTAATTAGATAATCGTCATATGTTCTAATCATGAGACGAAGCGAGAGATCCTGAAATATGGTACTTTATCAGTTGAAAAGTAGCGAAGTTCGACAATGATTATAGAGCATCCAGGCAGACAAGAAAACTACTACAACAACGGCGTTTAAAATATCTCGAAGTTTAAATTTCATCGTCTTAGAAATCTTTTGATCAATGTTTTTTATTTTATCTCAGAATGTGTATGGGTAAGAATATGAATAAAATTAGTTTAAATAATTTTCAGTCTTCAAAGGAAATAATAATGATCGTAGATTTTTCGAAAATACTATAAAATATAATATAGATATTACTTCCTCTATAAACAAATATTTGTTTTAAATAGCAACAAAATTTCATTTATACGTGTATATTGTGAAAAAAATAGGCAACAAATATTTTTAAAAAATTGAGGGAAAGTTCAGTTAATTATCATTGTGATTCGATGAGCGACGAATTCGATTGTTTGAGTGTTGTTGTGATACTTTAATTGCAATCAAACTGAGTATGAAAATGCAAATGCTGAGTATAAGATGTGGTACCAACATCCATCGTACTACTCTCTAAATAGTAAAGGTATTAACAATAAAGAACAAGATTTCCAATTCTAATAGCTTACTCCTTGTATACACCATTGATTGAATGTTTCTACATCAGTTGCATAATTTTTCAAATTGCAATTGAAAGCTTCGAGTGTAAAATGACCGATATATCTTAAACTACTATCTGTACTACCATTGAAGAAGAAGTCATCACTATTATTAAATTGAGCAAATGAAAAAGCAATGGAAGCAATATCAACACCTATGCGAAGTAGACTTAGGATGGTAACAACAACATTGAAGTAATCGAATATAAGAGTCTATAAAGAATAATTAATCGAATATATGAAAATTTAAATAACAAACCCTAGTAATAGATATTGGTGAACGTCTGATAACAAAGAAAGCGATAAGCAAGGAATCAAGAAGTCCTCCAAGACCAGCAGCAAAAATTATCCAATAACTACCCACATCCACTCTAGATGGTAGATATGCTAGAATTCGCTGAGATGTCACAGTACCGTTGACAAGACCATTAGTATCAAAAGTATTATAGATAAATGTAAAATTCGCAGTTTGTTGTGAAGCATCACTGTTAATATAAACCAATGAATGACAGATGAGTCCAAGAACAATTACAGATATCGCAAAGAGTACGCTGGTTATCACCAATATAAGTAAACGAAAAAGGTTCATTGACAAAATAACTACGCGGTGGATATATTAAAGAAATCAATAAATTATATATTTTTAAGGTATACTCCATCTGATGGAGAAAGGATTCAGTAATATTTTACCGTCATGGTTGTTTTTATTATCACTCTGAATAAATTAATTTCAAAAGAAATTATACTTTCTTAATTATATCTCTACTAGAAAATCTAATGTGTAAATTTCTACTTCAAATAAGGCTTTTCTAATAGACAACTAGAGAAAAAAACAAGCGAAGAAAAGCAATATAGTTAAAGAAAAATAGAAACATTAAACACGTTTTTTTTGTTTCTCTATTTCTTCCGCAGCGAAAAAGTACACGCAACGCACTTATTAACTATTATAAAGGTAAAAAACGACTTTTTTATTCGTTGTAAAATTCTGATGAATACTATTATAAAATGCTTCACATTTGACAACGATCATTTTGTTATAGATACCAGTTAGCTAGAAATAGAAATTCAATTGAAAGAAAATTTGAATGTGAAGTGTGAGATGTGAGAATTTGATATTATATTCACATCCTAAAGATGTCAGCACATATATGTATTCTCTTTCAATTTATAAATCTATATTTTTTGCTTCGTTATCTTTACAAGATAGAATCGAGACGAAAAGGGTGAATATAAATATTTATAAGTAAACAAAGAAAAAAAGAAATCTTTGGCGAATTAATAAAAAACGACAATCCTTCATGAATTATTATGCGAAAGTATAGAGATTATGATAGAGAAAAACGATTTTGTTTTTATTATACTCACACTCACATCCATCCATTATCTCAGTTTTGAGGCGTCATTGTTGATGATTTTAGTCATATCTATGTTTTAGATAGTGGAAATAATCAAGTCATGCGCTAACATGATAGAAATGTGGAAGGTTCGATCAATATTGATGGTAGTACAGATGAAGAAAAATTTAATGGATTATATCATTTCAGTCATTTATTCTTTCATACTAAAGGAAACCTTTATGTTGATAACTATCATAATCATCATATTCAAAAATATAAAATTGAATTTAATTAAAACCGTCTTCTCAAATAAAATAAAATCATTTTCTCTTAAAATCGAATTCAGTGAAGTACAAGAAAATTGATCGAATTGAAATGATTATGTTGAATTTATAAATGACAATCAAGGAGATGAATATTTTATTGTTCTCAAGTACAGCTACACCTATTCCCAAGAAAAAAAACCTAGATGGGAGTGTGAGATAAGATATTGAAGAGTTTTCACATTTTAATTCTGTACCATTTGTATTACATTTTTCTTTCGATACAATCCTCATACTGAGGTTTTATCTTACAAAATATTTGATTATTAAAATGAAAATGAAAATAAATATATTTAATATGAACTGAAAATCGATGAATAAAAAGAAAATAGAACAAAAAGAAGCAAAATTAGCAGGTCTGTAAAAAAACATTTATATTGTCAGTACCATCATTTGCAACAGCAAAATCGATTTTTCCATCATTAGTAAAATCACCGATAACAGCAGAAAATGGATGAGAACCATATGCCATCGAAAATATCATTATATTATCAAATATTCCATTACCCTGTCCAAGAAACAAACCTAACTTGTTGTTATTATAATTAACTACACCAATATCAAGTTTGTTGTCATTATTAAAATAACCAACAACTACAGAGCAAGGAGATGAAGATGAACCAGTTGAATATGATGTCTGATTTGCAAATTTACCATCACCATATCCCAAGAAAATGCTTATTGTATCGGATTGATAATTAGCAGTAACAATATCTAGTTGAGTATCATTATTGAAATCGCCAATTGCTAAAAAATATGGAGTTGAATTTGAGCCAGTTGAATATGTTGTTTGATTTGTAAAAGTAATATTTCCATATCCAAGAAAAATACCAATACTATTAGTACCTGAATTAGCGACTCCAATATCCATTTTATTATCATTGTTAAAATCACCAACAACAACAGATTGTGTTTGAGAATCTTCGCCAGTAGAAACTACCATTTGCTTTACAAAAACTTGATTAGGACAACCAAATAATATCATAATATTGTTATCACCTGAATTTGTGACAACCATATCAAGTAGAGTATCATTGTTAAAATCACCAATACCTACAGCTTTTGGAGAAACACCTGTTGGATATGTAATTTGGTTTGCAAAGGAGCCATTTCCATACCCTAATAATACACACACATAATTGCTACCCAGATTTGTGACAATGATATCTAATTTAGCGTCATTATTGATATCAACAACAGCTACACATTCTGGAAGAATACCCACAGGGTATATCATGAAATTTGCAAAAGAACCATTACTATACCCTAAAAGAATACTCACGGTTTTCTTACCAAGGGTAGCAGCAACAATATCTAATAGAGTGTCATTATTGATATCACCAACAGCTACAAACCATGGACGAAGATCAGTTGTAAAAGTCTTTTGATTTGCAAAGGAACCATTCCCATATCCAAGAAAAATACTCACATTATCAGAATTATAATTTGCAACAACTATATCTAACCAACCATCATCATTGAAATCACCAGTAGCCACAGATCGTGGATTAGTACCAGTAGGATATGTAGTTTGATTTGCAAATGAACCATTACCATATGCCAAAAGAACACCAATATTATTGTTACCATCATTGGCAACAACTAAATCTAATCGAGTATCGTTATTGAAATCTCCAACAGCTAAAGAATATGGACCAGTACCTGTTGGAAAACTTGCTTGATTTGCAAACGAACCATTACCATTTCCTAGAAAGATATTGATATTATTGCTACCATAGTTAGCAACAACTAGATCCAACTGATTATCATTGTTGAAATCACCAACAGCCAAAGATCGTGGTGTAGTACCGGTTGGATATATCGTTTGATTTGTAAATGATCCATTGCCATATCCAACAAAAACACTTATAGTATTACTAACAGAATTGGTAACAACTAAATCTAACTGATTGTCTTTGTTAAAATCATTGACTACTACAGCGTATGGATTGGAGCCAGTTGTATAAATCGTTTGATTTGTAAAAGATCCACTATTATATGAAATAAGAATATCAACAGTATCACCATCACCATATCCAACAACGATTTCTGATCGTCCATCATTATTGAAATCACCAGGCGAGATAGCTAATGGAGGATATGGCAAAGGAAGTTGGTAGGTTGCTTGACTTATGAATGATCCTCGTCCATTTCCAATTAACATTTGTACTTGCTTTGTACCAGAGGTAGCCACAGCAATATCTGATTGAGTATCACCATTGAAATCACTCATGGTAATTACTGATGGCAGAGAATTTGAGTCCATATCGATGAACACTTGGCTTTTGAAAGAACCATCACCATTCCCGAAAAGAATACCTAAATTGTCAGTACCCAAATTACTAACAATAATATCTAATCGAGTATCATTGTTTACATCACTAACAAAAATAGATTGTAATTCAGAACCACCACCTGATGCATAACTAATTTCATTTACAAGAGCTCCACGATTATACTGTAGCAATACAGGAACATCATAACTAGTATAGCCTGCTATGACAATATCCAATCGGTTATCGTTGTTCAAATCTCCAATCACTGTGCAGTATCCATATTTACCATCGTAATATGACATCGCGTTTCCAAAAGAACCATTTCCATACCCAAATAAAACATATACTTCGAGATTACCATTAAGACCAAAAACAATATCCAGATAAGTGTCATTATTGACATCACCAACAGCTACAGTATATGGAGGATCAGATGCTCCATATGTGATTTGCTTTGCAAAGGTGCCATTACCGTATCCAAGAAGGATCCCTAGATTATTGCTACCATAATTGGCAACAACCAGATCTAACTGACCATCGTTATTGAAATCACCAGTAGCCAGAGATCGTGGATTAGTACCAGTTGCGTATGTTGTTTGATTTGCAAACGAAGCATTACCATATCCCAGAAGAACACTTATATTATTGACACCATAGTTGGCAATAACTAGATCTAATTGAATATCATTATTGAAATCACCAACAATTACGATGTATGAATAAGTTCTAGTTATATATTTCATTTGGTTTGCAAAGGAACCATTGCCATAACCCAAAAGAATACTCACATATAAATTACCAGAATTGGCAACAACTAAATCCAACTGACCATCATTATTAAAATCACCAACAGCCAAAGATCGTGGACCAATGCCAGTTGAATATGTTTTTTGATTTGCAAAGAAGCCGTTACCATATCCAAGAAAAATACTGACATTTTTGCTATCATAATTGGTTACAACTATATCCAAATAACTATCGTTATTGAAATCACTGACAGCTACAAAATATGGAGAAGTACCAGTTGAATATGTAGTTTCATTTGTGAAAGAACCATTACCATATCCAAGAACAACACTTATCCAATTATTATAATAATAAGTAGTAACTAAATCCAGTTTACCATCATTGTTAAAATCACCAAGAACTATATAAAATGGTATATATTTAGTTGAATAATATTTGGGTAACGAAAAGCCTTCGAAGTAACCTTGAAGAATATCTATACTATTAGTTTCATTATTAACAACGATAACATCTAATCGTTTGTCTTTGTTGAAATCACATGTAGCAAAAGAGATCGATGAAGTCGATCCAGTTGAATTCATTCTTGCATCAGAAAAACTACCGTTTCCATATCCGAGAAGTAGACCTGTATTATTAGCACCAATAGTAATAATGAATAAGTCTAAATGATTATCTTGATTGAAGTCACCAACACCAATTGAGTATGGTGAACCAGAATTTATAGAATACTTTATTTGATTTGCAAAAGTCCCATTTCCATTGCTTAAATATATACCGGTTGTGTTTGTTCCATGATTTGCAACAGCGATATCAACAAGTGTATCACCATTGAAATTACCAACAGCTATTGATATTGGATGAGAACCATAACCAGTTGAAATAGTTATCTGTTCTTCAAAAGTACCATTCTTAGCATTAAGAAATAAACCAATATTGTTTGTTCCATAATTCGCAATGGCAATATCCATATAGTTATCATTATTAAAATCACCAACAGCTAATGCATATGAAAGGGAATCGTAACCTGTTGAATACATTGTTGGATTCGAAAACATTCCATTTCCGTAACCATAAAATATACTTATACTATTAGTTCCAAAATTGACAGTGACAATATCAAGTACTGTATCATTATTGAGATCAACTAAACTAATTGATATTGGACGCGATGTGTTAGTCGACAAATCTATTTGATTCCCAAAAGATCCATTTCCGTACCCAAAAAATATACGAATAGTATTTGTGTCAAAGTTTGCAACTGCAATATCTAATCGAGAATCATTGTTCAGATTACCAACTGCAACCATATAAGGATTGGAACCCAAACCAGTTGAATATTCGATCTGTTTGACAAACGTACCATTTTCATAGCCAAAATATATACCAATATTGTTAACAATCGAATTGGCAACTACCATATCTATCCAAGTGTCATTGTTGAAATCACCAACAGCAACAGATCGTGGACCATAGTTATACTCAATTGGATTCGTGGCTGTTTGTGAAATATTAAACTCACATTTTTGTCCTAAACAATACAATAGAAATTACCAAGCATCTGGAACCAAATTCAATTAGTAGATATCGCCACACCGCGACTTATCATGAGATTATTTCTTGTTGTAATGATTCAAATGTTATAAGAACTTACCATGTGATTTTGGTGAAGTAAAACAAACGATTAGGATGCCAGTTGTCATTACAATACATGTAAATATAAAAAATCCCATAGCACCAACGATTGAACCTGATATTGTCCAGTGATAATATTTCCTGAAACAATGCATCAGTATTATGTCTAAGATTACAGCAAAAAAAAGACTTACAGATCCCATGACGAAATTGATTTTGTTACCTGCTTCATGGTATCATTGCCATTCACTGTTGGTTCTTGTGTGTTCAAACCTAGTTGTAAGTTTCCTTCGCCACCAATAGACGATTGTTGTATAACAACTGAACCTTCAGTTGATCTTGTATCATTATTGATACAAACCAGTTCAATCTAAATGAAGGCAACATGAATAATTAATCTCGAAAAATAAATTAAAATCATTTATTTTTCATGTATTACTTCGTGTAAGACTATATAATGTGTTGCTAACGACTAGCACAACTCTTTTATTTATTATGATATCCTATATATCAATTTCGTCATCAATTACAATTACTACTGTTCAAAATATACTCTCTGATTTTTACTAGATGGTTCTCAAGTGATCTATTGTCTACATTCTTTGTTGCTAATATTTTTTAAACAATTTATTTTCTTCGTCTAACAGTAATTGTTCCTTACCTGGTTTATGTCGGATTCCATCGTTCACTTGTATGTATGTTCGAGTTTTCGATCAATCAAACAAACAAATTGCTTTGATATCAACGCCTTGTCTTGTATAGATAGCTGTTGCAAACTATTTTGAGAACAGAAAAGAAAATTAGTTAATATTTTTTATTAGTGAAGAGTTTATTCAATGATTTGAATATAATAGCTTTCCTTTGTTTCTCTATCTCTAATGCATACTCGCTCATTACAACATATGCCTTGCAATTATTATGTATCTGTTTGTGACCTACTGGTTTGATTTCTCATTAGCAAATTTAATATGTATGGTTCAAAATAACAATTTTTTTAGAGTAAGAATCTGTATTAATAAAATATCTCAGTAAAATACTATAGAAATAACATAATAGTAGCTACCCCTTCAATAATGTTCACGACGATTGAAGTAAAGAAGTAATAACTGCCGGGACTAATCACACAAGTATAAACGAATATGACTAAAAAATAAGAGAAAAATGCAAAAGACACTCTTCTATATACCTCTGTAATTGCAGTGATCGTTGATGCGTGGACTACTTTTTGCTTTATCTTAACGAAAGCATGCACAGCGCAATATGTAAAAGAGTGGGCACGTAACGATTGATTTTTAACCGTATAGGTAAGAAGTATTAACGAATGTAATAATCTAAATTTTAATAGAAGAAGCGCACATTTGTCTCTTTCTTCTATTACAACGAACGATAAAGTATGATATTACTGTTCTTCAAATTCAACAAAAACAAAAGTATACAAAAAATAAAATAGCATACGTATATAACGATTTTGTTTGTCTTCCACGTGACAAATATTACCGTTACTATTATAGGTGAAGAAAAAAAAAATAACAAATATGTATTAGAAAGTTTTGTCGTATTAAGAGAATCTTTACAAGTAGTAACTTGGAAAATAATGTATTAAATCAGTTTTTATTTATTTGTTCTATATGTAAAGATGATTTAGTCGTATTTTATAAGATGTATAAAAAAGAACAAACAATGTAGAACGTGTTTCAAACGTCTGCCGAAAAATTTAATTTAAATATCTTTTATGCAACTCAAGCGATTTACATGAACTTTTCATCATTTCATAGGATATACTTTGAAATTTTATTTTATACGTATGAAATAAAACAATACCCTTAAAATTCAATTCTAATTAGTCTTTTATTAATTTATTCTTTTCAGTAAAGACGATCAATTTTAAATTTTTATTATTTTTTTGTTTAAGGAGAAATTACTAAATATAATTCAATTATTATTAGTCATCTATCTAATTAAATTTTTAAAACTATGTTCAATAATGTTTTCTTTTCAAGGTTAATTAATAGTTTTAACTATTATTTTGATATTATTATGTATAACTCTACTTTTTCATTAAATAGTATCGATCAGTTAATTCAGATAGTTTTTCCAGTATGTGTATCATATTCAAATATGTGGTTCAATCTTTCGAAAAGTAAATCAATAATAATTGATGATACAATCGTTGTTATTTATCATATATATATTCATATAAAAAAAAACTTCGTTTATTAAGTCATGTAATTAATAATTTTAGTTTTGCTCAAATTACGAATTTATTATAAAAGGATGCTGCAAAAGATAACGTAGTTCATTATTATTTGAATTATTTTTGGATAAGTAATTAAAGAAGAAAGAATTTAAAATACATGATCCTCTTTTTAGATCCCTTCATTACAAATCATTGTCGTCATTTTGTTATTATGGTATTTTGTTAAGTAAATTACTTTTATTATTCTTATTAATTCCATCATTATTCAATCGTCTGTTTCTATACTATTCTCATTGGAGTAATAAAAAAAGTATTTTAATTTTTTAGTAGTAAAAGTTTCAAAACTATATCGGAAATTACAAAATCAATATATATTTGAAAAAAATGTATTGTTGCGAATCAGCATTTAAAAAAACATTCATAATATAAGAATGTATGTACATTACTATAAAGTTTTATTCCGATTCTATATTTTAAATATTAATATATCTAAATGCCAGATAACTAAATCGACGATATTTATTATATATATTTGTCTGAAAATTGTCTTATATCAAATAGTTATATTAATATAATATTTTTAACGATGTATGAAGTAATATGGGCATTAAATATCAAATCTGATACAGGTTTATTTACTCTCTTATATGTATCAGTTAATTATACACATCAATGTTGCACCAAACTTTTTAATTTAGATATTCGTCATGTCTCTAATTATGTTACAGCTGCAAAACGAATTCGAGTTTGAATATACAGATTTTTTTTATTGCTGTTTAAAAAAGAATCAATTTTCTATTTATATATATATATATATACTTCTTTTAGTTGATGTATCAAAAAAAAAATAATCGATAATCATCAACATTATTCAAAGATATTATAACAAATGATAAGATTAATAAAGATTTAATAAAACGAACATCTGAAGTTTTATGTAATTTAAAACAAAAATTCTAGTTGTTAACGAAAGCAATAGTGACGAAGAAATTAGATATTAAGTTTTTTCTATTATATTATCAATCTGTTACATTGATTAGTCAAATTCTAATATTGCTTTTATTGATATTTTGAAATTTAAATTGAGAAAATTATTATACAATGGCGTTCTTTAAAAAAAAATTGAACAAATTATATAAATGAGTATCTAAGCATGCACGGTATGTTGTTGTTCATACGTTGGATAATCAGTATATCCTACAAAATCACCTCCATAAAAATGTTTAACATTGAAATTTGTATTTAATTCTTCATTGTTAATCAAACGTTGTGCTAGATCAGGATTTGCAATATACAATCGTCCAAATACGATTGCATCAGCTAAACCATCTTTTAATGCTTTTGCACCTTGTTCACTATCATATTCAGTATTGGCAAAAAACTTAGTATGTTCCGAATTAATTAAGTTTCTCCACTGGAATATATCAACATAAGTTCCACGTTGTGCTGGATCTCGAAACGGCCAATAGCGTGTTAATTGTATATAAGCAATGCGTCTAGCATTGAGTTCTTTAATAAGATATCCAAAAGTTTCAGTAGTATCCTTTTCCGTCATACCCATATCATTATAACCACCACTTGGTGATAACTTAATACCAACACGATCATTTCCAAAAACACCACTAATTTCATCAATAATACGTAAAGGAAATCGACATCGATTTTCTGCAGATCCACCCCATTGATCTGTTCTTTGATTAGATGTATTATCGATAAACTGATGTGATAAATAACCATTTGCACTAATAAAAAAAAAGAAAGATTTTTCAATGAAATAGTGAGTAAAAATTCTTATACCTATGCAATTCGACACCATCAAATCCAGCTTCTTTTGCACGTTCAGCAGCTCGCTTATACAAAGCAATATAATGTTCTGGATCGTCAATAGCAGTTGGTGTAACAAAACCAGGATGTCCTTCTAATTGTCGAAATTTACCACCTTTAGCTGCTATTGCTGATGGTGCAACATTAGGTCGACCATCCTGAAGAAGTGGATGAGCGACTCGTCCAACGTGCCATAATTGAAGAAATATATGACCATTGTGTGCATGAACACTATCGACGATCTTCTTCCAACCGGCTACTTGTTCATCTGAGTAAATACCAGCTAAATATAGATTAGATATATAAAAAAAAATAAAGCTATAAATAAAATATACTGACGAGCATTGGTCCATTCTGTACCCTGTGGTTCGATAAGTGTACCTTCTGTAAGTATAAGACCGGCACCAGTTCGTTGTGTATAATACTCCACTTGAAGTGGACCGGGGACACGATTTCGATCACGAGTTAATGATGACATAATCACGCGATTTTTGAGAAGTAATGGTCCAAGTTGTAATGGTGTTGCAAATGATGTCATTTTGTGTTGTATAAAGTATAAAGATGGTATATTTTTATGCGTCTAAACGATAAAAAATAAATTCAATGATTTTCTACTCTCGTTTTATATATCGTCGTCATGCACACAACGTATGATCACAATAAATAATGCACCGTCATTGTGTATAATTTATAAAAGTAAACGAACATGTCAATTGTCATATACCACATGCTTTGTGTATTTCACGAACAGAAAGAAAAAAGTGACTTTTTTTTTCTTTCTTTCTCCATAGTTTTCATCCATTCTGTTGTCACAATCAACTGCTTCGTTCAAACATGCAAACGATATTGTTAGATAGTGGCATCTTTCATCACTACCTGTCTTTTACTTCTCTCGCTTCTAGTCTCTCTTGAGTGATCATGTAGGTCAACAGTTATCTTTCTAAAGAGAGTTATGTTCTCTCCTAGTTATACTAAAGTTTAACGAGAGGTAGCCAGGCTACATCCTAACAGACATCACATTGCAGTTATACTTTAGAGTAAATTACGTACTCTTATATATTCACAAGGATATCAAATAAGTGAATACATTTTAGCATAGAGATATATTCGTTCATTATTATTTATGACAATCACATTATTTTGATAGAGTAGTTGTTGTTAAAACTCAAATTGTTTCTTTCAATTTTTTTATAAATCCTGAATGAAGAATTCTAAGAAAACTAACTTTTAATCAAGAATAACATACAAATTATTAAAAAAATTCAGCAATAAGTCAAATTTCGTTGCAATTAACTAAATTCAGATAAATTTATATAAAACTCTAATAGATTATTCTGTTCTTAGTTACAATTTTTCGATTATATGATTCAGATAGAATTCGAATAATCTCAGATTATTTTCAAATCTATTAAATGTGCCAGAATTTTATCTCGAAAAGTGATCGAATATATAAAATTTTATGAACAAAATCATTTAAAAAATTTGTATTTATCTAATTCGATATATTCTAAAAGATTATTATCAATAATAATCACAGAACAGAAAAATAATATTTTAGATTTAACTGTAGTAGAAATAATCGAACATCTTATATCAAATAAATTCATTAGTTCTAGTAAAATTTCATAAACATGTTTAAATGAATATTTTAGCAATGCAACTATTGAATAGTACTGATTACTTGCAAACCATATCTTCACTTCTTTGTATCCATTATATACATTCTGTTTGTTGAAAGGAAAAAAAGGATAACTAATGTAGATTTTTAACTAATATTACAGAAATTATAGTATTCAAGTATGTAACGAAAAATATAATAGACAGAAAAATAATAAATTATAAGAATAAAATAAAACAATTGATGTAATGGGAAAATAAAATGAGAAGCAGAAAGTCATAACATCGACAAACATATATATAAAAGTCAATGATAACAATCATTAGTGGATAAATCGATTTAATCCACTAGAATCAAACATTTCGTTTCATTTCTCAGACAGTTGTAACATATTTAATGGTGTATAATGAACGAGCTAGAAAAAAGATCCAAATAAAATTTATTATTTTTTAGGGTAATATTTTTTTTGTTGAATAGCTACTAAGTCATACTATGAAAACCTAACTTAGTTTCGAATAAATCTCATTCCCGATGGACTAAGTTCAAGCAGAAAGTCAAACTATGCCAAATACGGACCAGCTATTCAAAAACTAAGTCCTTCGTCAATATATTTGGTAGAAACATTCACTCGTATATTCCATCAGATGAAGCGCACACGATTGTACCTTGGATAGTCCCTTGAAGTTTTCCAAATCGCGTTTTACTATTAAAAAGAAGAGAAAATCAATTCGAACTGAAGTGCTTTGACAGTTGTTGATATTCGATGTTCGCAGTATTACTACAATAAATTTTTTGCTTTTATCCGTATAATACCTGTTTGTATATGGTTTTGTAGAGAATTAAACGCTGTATCTTTCAAAAACAACATCAGTCCGAAATGATGAAAACTGGCAGAGATATTAAGAAAATACTGACACCGCCATTTATTCTGGTCCACCCGTTATAATGTAAAATTTCCTTTTTAAAAGTTTCTTCGGCTGCCGAGATTTTCTTTTCGAATCAAAATCCATATGCCATAGATTATAGTAATTGTAGTTATGAAATATTCTATTGCCTATTTCTTTTTCTTATTAAACTCAAATGAATTTATATTGTTGTTTACTCCTGAAACCAATGTTAGAGTTTTTCTTTGTAATCTCTTTTCCTTATCTTTGATAACATATATATATAATAACAATTCTTATCTTTTGCCTTATTTTCTTTCTTTTTTTATTTTGTATCATAACAATAATAGTATTTTAAAACATGCTTCATAAAAAATCAAATAAACAACAATATATTTTATTTCGACTTGCTTTTATTCCATTAGTTTTATCATTTGGAAGTTTTCTATTACTTAATTATGGTTTTTTCTCTTATATCGAAGAACGACAAAATGAAAAAAATTATTTGAATACAACATGTTTTCTTAATGGAACATTGACATATCGTGAACCATGTCATGATCGTAGTTGTTCGTATACAAGATCACCTGCTTTATGTCCATCTACTTTTCAACTTTGTTCGAAAACTGTTTATATTATTATTTATGAAAATAATCAACAAGCTTTTACATATAATCGGCCTTCATGGGCTGTAAGTAAATAAGTTTCTATATTCTATTAAATTGTTTGAATTCTTTGTATGTAGAATGATGATAAATCACATACAAGATGTTATTATGATAAAACAAAATCAGGTATTGTTAGATGGAAAAAACCAACAACGAAACAATTTAAAATTCAAATTTCATTCGGAATATTATTATTTACAGCAAGTATTATTTTATGGATTGTTTGGGCTCATTTGAAAAAAAACGCACAATTAACAACAATATCAAATAATCATTATCGTATACTAAGATCAGAACTATAGTTCAAACAGATAAGATATCAAAAGTTTTTAATTAAAATAAAATTGTTTTAAATATTACTATTGATATTACATTATTGATTACAGATGAACATAGTATTTTATTAATATTTCAATTATTTTTTTTTTGAATATTTATTATTTTATTATATACGTTATTAGATTGGCAAGAAAGTTTACGCGTATTTTTTCAAAGTTTTCTAGAACAGTCGAGAAAGTTCTAGAAATTTCCATACTAATTCTATTTCATGAATTTGATTTGGGTCTCAAAGTAACAAACAATATATGTGATACGACTTACCGTGTTCCGGAAGACCACTAGAGGTGCATATGAATGTCTTAAAGCAGCTTGTCGAAGAACATCTTAGATGGATTATGCGATATCTAACAGAGTGCCGTGGATGTTCTCAACAACAGCGGATTGAGCCTTGTATGGAATTAATGACGTCTTATCGCAACTAAGAATAACTTCGCAATCTTATTACCCGTGATGAAAAGTGGATGTTACATATTAGCTACACATGCAAGCGCCAGTGACTAAAAGATGGAAAAAGAGATGTATAGCAACGTCCAAAAATGAACTTCATCCAAAGAAGATTATGATGAACGTTTGGTGGGGAATGAGTTCAATCATTCATTGAAAACTTCTTCCATTGACTGCATCATCACTGTTGATCTCTATTGTGAACAAGTTGACTTTGTTGCAGCAAACTTCCAGGGCATTATTCAGATGTCTTACAGTTTCACATTCATCTTGTTCTCTACATTTGGCTCATACGGGTTACTATTTGCGCAAGAAAAAATTCGTTAACGAGAAAGAACGCGAAATCCTTTCTCTTTCAGTGCATTGGCGATAAGTGATAAATACTAATGAAGCATATGCTGTTAAAAAATATAAAAAAAAAAGGCAAAAACTTTCTTACTCAGCCGATATTCGTATTAGTATCAAGATGCACGACATTTGAGAGACAAATGAGGATTTAAATATGAAAAACAGTATCTGGTTCCTCGAAAATCATTATAAGTATTCTAACAGTAAGCACAAACTTCAAATCGGCAATTCCTGGTCACTTACGCGCTTGTAAGCCAATGGAATTTTAGCTACAAAACAAAATAAGAGCATAGTGAGCTATCATTATTATTATTTTTCTTGAAATTATATATCTCGATTTCGGAAAAATTCTAATTAATAAATAAATAATATATTGTATTATCTTTTAGTTTATATATCAAAAAGATCAAACAGACAACATAAAAAATTCACAAATTTTATGTGTTTCTATAATTTATATGAATAATTTTAAGCACTATTTTATCAACATATATTAATCAATTATGTTTTATAGCTATTATTAATGAAAAATAATTGTTCTTCTCTTTTCTTGTATTTTACGTTTATTTTTCTGCATCGAAAAAAGAATAATAAGATTCAATGTATTCTTATTGTGTTTATATAAATACATATATTTTACTTTCTATTATATTAATTCATATAGCTAGTTGATATCTGTAATTTATATGTCAGAACTATAAATGTAATTATATAAGACCTTTGTTTTGATTGTTTCTTGATGTATCTTGATTAATGTTTTATTTTGCAATTAATATTTCGTTAGGCACGACAATATAATCCAAGACTATAACACAACTTCTCTACAGCGCTATACACTTCTAGTTCATCAGATTTTCTGATATATATTAATTTAATGTCAATCATGCGACTATCATGCCATATGATGATATCTGTTACTAGAAAAAAATCACTACTATATATTTTTATTTATTTTTATTTTTATATTCATCTTCTCACTCTCAAGTCGAAGATAGATAAGACGATATTCTTTATTGCAAGATAACATACAATATATTTTTCTTTTCTTGCTTAACATGTGTTATTATTTACTTTTAAAATAAAAAAAAAATTACATATATAAATTTTATTATTCTATTATAGAGAAACGTTTCTTTAATTTTTTCTAAACAATGGTATTTCGTATTCTTTTATTGTTTGTATATACTTTGTTGGTAAATGATGTTAGTGCAAGAACATTAATATGGCCAAAAGTAATAAATATATAATTTCGTTTTTCATACTTTTCGCAACTAATATAGAATTTCGACAATATACTTTGTTTGTTTTTCTGTTACAGTAAAAGAACAAATTGTTAATCATAAATCAGTCTTCATCTAGTGAATATTGAATGATGTCAGTAGATAGACAAGCACAACTACTAAATGATGCTCTCTATTTAACGTTCTATCAGTTGATATTTCCTTATAAACATTGATAGATTTTATAATAAAATTTACTTATATATCTTTTTTCTACGACTTTCCTCACTCGTTCGATATATATATATATATGAAGAACATTGAGAAAAACAAAAAAAGATGTATTTAACTATTCAATTAGTTGATCTGTTAGCAGTACTTGATACTCTAATTTTTATTAGGATTTATAAGACGGATTGGTTTCAATTTTCAGTGATTTTTGAACTCCGTTCGGATATTTGACAGAAAAATTCATATAACTCGATACTTTTAGCAATTACAAAACCTAAAATTTTCATGGGATAACTGTGGTCCTGCTACTGATCCAATTAAAATAGTATCGCTTAGTATTGGTCCGGATCCAATTAGATTACCAGGTTAAATCATTTATTTCTCAATGATAACTAATCTATGCGTTAATATTTTTTTTACAGGAAATGTTGCCATCTCTACTTCAATTAATATAACAAAACCATTTCCAGCAGACATTGAGGTAAACCTGTTAATACTATCTAACAACACGTTATTTTATTTGATTTTTTGATTTTAGGCAAAAGTTGATATGGAAAAAAAAGTTGCTGGCATTTATATAAAAGTACCATGTGAACACGATGTCGGTTCATGTTCTTATAGTATCTGTACAAATAGTACTAAAGTTTATCCCGAGTTTTTTAAGGGTTATACTGGTGCAAAAACATGTCCTTCGATCCCTCCAGCAACTTATTCAGTATCTAACTTGATTACGGATGTGAAAAAGTCAATACCATCTATAGCCGATGGTGCATTTCGAATTACGATTAATTTTAATTCAAATCATGCTGGTCACCTTGCTTGTCTTCATCTTAGTGTCAATCTGAAAAGTTAATTAGAAACAATGATATCATTACTTCTGAACATTTTTTCATTCTTTTTTTACATTTTAATTTTGTTTATATTTGATAATAAATCCCTATTGAAAAAAAATATCTCTAAACCAAATAGTTTCACCAAATATATGTACGTCTTTGTTGTTAATAAAAACGACAAAGTCGAAGAGAAGATTCAATCTTACAATCAAAGAGTATTGTCTAACAAGAACAGAGAAGTACGCGCTCCTGTAGTCTCACTTTTCCTCTCTTTGACTCTAAATCTATTTAATTGAAACTTCATAATAACAAACTATTAATCAGGCAAAGCCAGGTAAAAAACATGTACCATCACTCAATTTTTCAAATAGATTTTTTATAGCATTAAAATTAATGACACTTTGTAAATTGATATATATACTACTGTAACAAATACTATCTATGGATTCATACTATAAAATTCATAAGATTTATAAATTTTAAATAATTTTTATCGATCACTTTTATTTTAATAGAACAATCTTCAATAAATATGTTTTGAAACTACACACTTAAAGTACTAAATTGAAAGTTGCTTGTTTACTTCTTAATTGTTCAAGAAGTTCTTTTCTTTTACTTCCAACTGGATTGAATTTAAAATTAACTCTGGTAAGTGTCTATATAAAAGAGTGAACACAAGATAAGACAAATAAACACGACCTTTTCTCTTACTGTATTCTGCTCCTTCATCTTCTATATTGTTGTAACGCAAATTGAGTATGGTGAGAGTCTTCGTTTAAAAAACAGACAAATAACATGATGAAATCAATGAAAAGAGTATTTCTTTCACTTTATTTTCTCGATAAGCATCAGCAAGATGATTTCCACTTATATTTCTAACTCCGTTGTCCCAAAGATTAATTGTGGTAAGTGCCTTTGCAATAAAATAAAGAAAACGATGAAACAAAATGAAGAAATTTTCTCTCATGATATTCTCTCGTAAGGCAGTTCAAGTGTTGTGAGCGTGTGGAATAGGAAATTTCTAACTTTATTAATACACGACTATATATCAAGAATAGTGATATCAAATAAAGTTTGATGTATTTGAAAGTCTTATGAGAAACTTCTTATTTTCCATATAATAAAAAGAGAGCATAGTGTTGTTGTCACTATGGGAAGGAATACATTTGACATTGTATTGTATAAAACTAGGCTGATTGGAAGTTGATTGATTTCGATAGATAAGATTGCAGCAAGAGTTTTTAATACTCGCATAAGATGATATCATAGCGTTAATCGTGCCGCTGATGAGGTTTGAGGGTTTCGTCGTCTTTCATACGACTGGATTACCACCATATTTTGTGTTTATGATAATGGATAGAATACATTAGTAAAAACAATATTTCTATATTGAGATTATTAATTTTATATTCTTTCAAAAGCCTTGCTGATGGTACGTGTGTAATGGAATATCCAAGAGTTACACACCAACACCCACCCTCGTCTCTTTCGTATCATTTTAGTAGTAAATATGTTTTTATTTGATTATACATTGTAGAAATGAAGAATTATTCAAAATAACAAAGAACCAGACAACTATGGTAGAAATAAACATTACCTAATATCAATAATAACTATTGACATTGAGTAGAGAATGGTAAAATCACTTTGACGATCAAGAATATGACAGATAAGTTCTACCGGTAATGTAACAAAAGAAGTAATGATTTTATTTGCCATTAACGAATTGAAAGTTGTCGAGATGTGTATTGTTTTGCTGTTTCTGTTTTCTTCAACTTAAATAACTCAGCATTTGCAATGTGCAACAGATCTCTATCGATATTGTAATTACTTGTTTAAAAAAAGAATTGCGAAAGAATGATGTCAATAATAACAACATTGCAGAAGCGTGTGGATGTGAGCTGTTATAATATTTCATTTTAAAATGGTATAAATGAAGAAGAAAAAAGAATGAAAGAATTATTCGTCATTCTTCTTTTTCATTTCCTATATGTATATGTAACACCTATGAGCTCTAAATGAGATTTCACCTAAATATATATTTTAATCTAACAGATGATATGGTTTTATTCATTCTTATCAATAAAATATTTCGTTTAAATCCTATACTTTTATTGAATAATATTTTTGCCGAGCGAGTATAGGTGTGAATGTGGATGTTAAATTTATTTCTCATTCATATTGAAACCCTCAATGGTTAGATTGATACAAAATAGTATCGAAAGTAGTAGTATTTATATTTTATTTTATCGTTTTGTAAATATATTTGCATTGTACTTTTAAAAACAAAGAACTATTTCGTAGGTTAACTTGATATATTTATAAAATCAATACTGTCTTTAAAATTATTTGCTTTCGATAAACTACATAGAAGTATTGTATCGTTCTGTAATTAAAATATTTCTGTTACTAAGTATATTGTAACTTTTTTTCTTTTGAAATATTCATAATTTCATTGTAGAACAATTATAATTATCAATTTAATATGAGTGCAAAAGTAGAAGTAAAAAAAACACCGGGTACACCTAATTATACTTTTAGTTTTATTTTTATTTAAAAAAGTACGCAGAGTGTAAGTGAGAATATTTTCAGATGTACCTTGATCTTCATGCATTCTTTTCTATTCTTACCTTGCGATAAGAACAGAACGTAATGATGACGATGCGAAAAAAAATGTAAAAAGGACGGAGAACAGAAAAGAGAAACACATCATTTCATATCAACTGGCGGCGCGGTCGCTGCATGATCGGAATATGCGTTATATTAATAACGGACGTTAACATATCTTCGTCTGTATGATAGTGCATAAAAATTGCTTAGTCATATTTACATCGGTCATTTTATAAGAAATTGCCGTGTCATGTGTACATAAAACATGGTATAAAAGAGGGAGATATTCAACAGTTATACAAATTAAAGTAAAAATGACAATCACCGATAACTCGAATACAACTCGTAATGTGGATACGACTTTAACATACAGTAAAGCTTTACCATCCACCAGTGCATCTGAACATTGGTTTATCAGTATCAATGAATCAAGTGATGGAAAACGTGAACAAAATTTTATAACTGAAGATGTTGAAACTACCATACACGATATACGGGGACATGAATCAAACACACATATTGATATTACTGGTTTTCAGGCACTTACTTCACCAAGTACAGTCGATGCTGATCTTATTCTTAATGGAACAGAGGAACAAGTAAAAGAAGTATATTATGGTGAAGTTGAACAATTACTTAAACGTGCAACAGGAGCCAATCATGTTGTTTTCTTTGACCATACTATACGCAAGACGAGACCAGGTATTGTAAGTGATACTCCATCAACTCGTCAACCTGTATTACGCGTTCATGTTGATCAAACACCTATTAGTGCTCATAAACGAGTACAACGACATGCATCAAATATTCCATGGAAACGTTTTCAAATAATTAATGTATGGCGACCATTGGGAAATCCTGTATATGATTATCCACTTGCTGTGGCTGATTTTCGAAGCGTTGATGTACTCAAGGATCTTATTCCAACAACACTTGTTTATCCACCTCCAACGCCGAATGGAGAAACTTATTCTATTATTCACAGCCCACAACTTAAATGGCATTACTGGTCTAAGATGACACCAGATGAAGTACTACTCTTGAAATGCTATGATAGTGCTAGTCGAATACTTTCAACCATCAAAGAGAGTGCAGCTGAAGTTGACGAGGCTTTATTAGTTGATGTTGCTGGTTTAACACCCCATACAGCCTTCTACGATGCTCAAGGTGCAAAAGAAGGACCAACAAGACAATCAATTGAAGTACGAGCTCTTGTTTTCTATGAATAAATGTTGTAATTATTTTTTGTTTAATAAAAATTCAAGCTATCATAAACATGTGTTCAAAAATTCAATTTTCTTTTTTTAACTATTTATTCTCATTTATTTTTCATTTTTTAACTTTCATTTGTCAAGTCATTTCATGAAGTGGAGATATCTATGACGCATCAAAGAATAAAACTATATTATATTTCGTAACTAATCTTAGAATTTTATATTGAAACTATTCAATTATTTTTTTTGAAAGATTATTCTATAGATTTCTTACCAAATCAACTGATGATGATTTAAATTTTTTTTTCGTTTTTATTTTGGAAGAAAGTATCTACCATACGAGGAAATATTTGATTGTGTGCATCTGTTTATTCATAACGATCAGTAATATCGTATTTGTTTCTAATTTTTTTGATGATGCATGTAGCTGAGTAAGTGTGAATAAACTGAATTAAGATGAGATAAATATGTGTGAATTATTAAAAAAAACGATATTTTGAAGATGCGGATATAGATGAATAATGGACACCTTTACCCTCAAGACAGTTTGATAGCTTTTCTTCAATGGCAGATGTTTTTAAGAACAGTATATAATAGGAAAAAAATGATGAAATAAAAAACTACTTCTTTTAAATGATGATGCTGTATTTCGTGTTCTTCCTCACCTATGCTACACATAGTACTTCTTTCGTCATCTATTCTACTTGCTAGTTGACTTATAGGTTCAGCTGAGCCATGTATTATTGACTTCAATTATTGAGATCTACTATTTGATTTTTATTGTCAAACTCCTAATATTAGATTTTCAATTTTAGTAAATTGATGAAAAAATGCCCTTCTTTTTGATAGTGAATTGTCCACCTTGAATATCATTTTTACAATTCACTTACTGGGCTATAAACACAGTAATATATTCAGAGATTTACAAAGATATTTTTGAAAGATTTTTGATAAACGATCAAATACTCATCAATATTATTAGATTTTTTTTCTAGGTTTTATTATTAATCAAGAAGAGAAAAACACAACTAGAAGAAAATATTGATTTCACACGCAAAATATAACAAAATAACTTT